GCTAATCGGATATCTGTGTACTAATCATCTTATAAATATAGTCTTTTAATTGATCAATTAAAAATGGAACCAAATTGTACAATCATTACTAATATTCATATTATATATCTTTGTATACACACGAAAGGGCCTATACACCTAAGAGAACCGGTACACCCAAGAGACCTAATATAAATAAGATGGGCAGTACACAAAAGGATCAGCACACTTGAGGGAGCTGGTACGTCTAAGGGAGCGGTACACCCGAGGGGGGGGGGGCTAGCTCACCTTAGAGGCCTGTCATCCACGCGAACGTGCGAGCGGAAAGAGAGAAAATCCAGCCGGTACACCTAGGAAGCGGGACCCTCGTATTTTCTTGGTCCGGGTTCGAATCTCAAATGTTCTTAAATACTGATTTACATAGATAGACAAGATAGATAACCTATGGTTATCTATTCAGCCGGATCATTATATATATATATATATATATATATATATATATATATATATATATATATATATATATATATATATATTTATATATATATATATATATATATATATATATATATATATATATATATATATATATATATATATATATATATATATATATATATATATATATATATATATATATATATATATATGTCGTACCTAGTAGCCAGAACGCACTTCTCAGCCTACTATGCAAGGCCCGAATTGCCTAATAAGCCAAGTTTTCCTGAATTAATATATTTTCTCAATTTTTTTTCTTATGAAATGATAAAGCTACCCATTTCATTATGTGTGAGGTCAATTTTTTTTTATTGGAGTTAAAATTAACGTAGATATATGACTGAACCTAACCAACCCTACCTAACCTATCTTTATAGGTTAGGTTAGGTTAGGTAGCCGAGAAAGTTAGGTTAGGTTAGGTTAGGTCGTCGAAAAAACATTAATTCATGAAAACTTGGCTTATTAGGCAAATCGGGCCTTGCATAATAGGCTGAGAAGTGCGTTCTGGCTACTAGGTACGACATATATATATATATATATATATATATATATATATATATATATATATGTCGTACCTAGTAGCCAGAACTCACTTCTCAGCCTACTATTCAAGGCCCGATTTGCCTAATAAGCCAAGTTTTCCTGAATTAATATATTTACTATAATTTTTTTCTTATGAAATGATAAAGCAACCCTTTTCTCTATGTATGAGGTCAATTTTTTTTTATTGGAGTTAAAATTAACGTAGATATATGACCGAACCTAACCAACCCTACCTAACCTAACCTAACCTATATTTATAGGTAAGGTTAGGTTAGGTAGCCAAAAAAAGCTAGGTTAGGTTAGGTTAGGTAGGTTAGGTAGACGAAAAAACATTAATTCATGAAAACTTGGCTTATTAGGCAAATCGGGCCTTGAATAGTAGGCTGAGAAGTGCGTTCTGGCTATTAGGTACGACATATATATATATATATATATATATATATATATATATATATATATATATATATATATATATATATATATATATATATATATATATTCCTGAGACACAGGTGGATATATATAAATAAATTCAAGCGATATCTAAAGAGAAAAAAATCCGGAGGAGAAAGTGTCAGGAGGAAAGTGATAAAAAAAACATGGAAATTGGTGAGTGTTATCAGGCTGAGAACGGGAAATGAAGGCACCATTCAGCCTCTAAATTTAGGGAAATTCCATGGAGAGGGACCCCGCTGGATACTTTAGTGGGGAAGATTTACCGGGTGTTGTGGGGGAGAGTGGGGGAGGGTGTGGGGGAACTTCTCTATCTTGGTGGGGGATTTTTCAGGCTGGCAGTTGTGTCCAGTTTTACCTCTTTCGTTTTTGTTTGTCTAAATGTGTTTGTGTTTGTGTGTGTTTGTGTTTGTGTGTGTGTTTGTGTGTGTGTGTGTGTGTGTGTGTGTGTGTGTGTGTGTGTGTGTGTGTGTGTGTGTGTGTGTGTGTGTGTGTGTGTGTGTGTGTGTGTGTGTGTGTGTTAAAAATGGAGACGGCTTTTATACCCATATCTGACAGAGCTCTTGTGTGTGTGACTATTCCACTTTTAAATCTCTATTGTCGTTTTCTTTGGTAGACATAAACCCCCTTTTTTTATCTGCCATGTGTGCTGTAGAGAAAACCTATCACAGTTATCCCAGTGCTACATAACATCTCTGAAGCGCTTTGCAGGTCATCACAGTCTAGTGTCACTAAACTCAATTTTGTGCTAACCTGCTGTTTTTTAAGAGAGAAATGTTTAAGTCCTATTATTTACAGGCTGAGTGTGTCAGAGTTGACTGTTAATCACTTAACTGTAACTCTTTGTCACAGCATTAGGAACTGTATATTTGTATAACCTTGTCCATGCAAGAGACCCCGTCACCCATGCGCGAGACCCCGTCACCCATGCACGAGACCCAGTCACCCATGCACGAGACCCCGTCACCCATGCTGGAGACCCCGTCACCCATGCTGGAGACCCCGTCACCCATAAGAGAGTCCTGCCTGGCCAACATGGGAGACTGGCCTCCTGAACACGGTCCTCTGGGTCATCACAATATGGGAAGTCCAAATCTGAGCGGCTCAGGTCACTCCCTGCACCGATAACATCTCTAGCTTCTTCTCTCTCCCCCACCCCTCCCCGGCTCGCTTCTCCACTCTCCCTCTCTCTCTCTCTCCTCTCTCTCTCTCTCTCTCTCTCTCTCTCTCTCTCTCTCTCTCTCTCTCTCTCTCTCTCTCTCTCTCTCTCTCTCTCTCTCTCTCTCTCTCTCTCTCTCTCTCTCTCTTCTCTCTCTCTCTCCTTACATGCCTCTCTCTCTCCCTCCCTCCCTTCCTCCCTCCATCCCTTTCTCCCTCTATGCCTCTCTCCCTCCCTCCCTTCATGCCTGTCTCCCTCCCTCCACGCCCCTCTCTCTCCCTCAATGCCTCTCTCCCTCACCTCTTCCATGCATAACCTCCCTCCCTCTATGTCTCTCCCCCTCTTTATGTCTACTGTTGCATTAGATAAGTCATAGACTAGGATCTATAGCGTGGCTGTTGTCTCCGTCTGGTCACGGCTATGACTCCTATGGCCATTCTGCCTCTCTTGCGTTCACTTCCACCAGTTGAATGTTTGCCTCTTCCTCAGTTCATTGTTGCTGCTCCCGTCTCCCGTCATCCACACCTTCTCTCTCTTCCTCCTGTCCCTGAAAACCGTCTGGATTCTCCTAGCTATATTCTTCAGCGACCTTGTCGCTTTCTGTCAGGTCATTCCCGTCTCTAAGTAGCCATACGCTTTGGTTCTTTACCGTGTATTATCCCATATGACAAGGCAATGTTCTTCTGAACCTGCCTCTCTGCTTGTCTCCTGTCTGGTATTGTACTCGCGTGAGGCTCTGCTTCGGTGCTTCTGTCTGCCTCGGTACTCTTGCATTGTCCACGGAAGAAAAGATTATTCTCTCAATTCTCTTCTACCTCTTTCCTGAGTGATATGTTTTCCTCGTTCGTGTGTAGTTTTGCCTCTATGCTTCATGCCGACATTCCTCTTGGTCACACTGCCAGCGGGCTGCAGGAAGGACCTTCCATACCACTGTTATCTCCCCCTTCAGGAGTCCGGCCCAGTTCTATCTCTGATAGCTAGTCAGTTTCCCTCCTTCGGCTAAACTGTGTAATCAAATATTTTGACGCAGTGCTGGCAGGCTCCCATAGTGACTCCCCGTGGTCTATCCTGTCTATATCCAGCTCACCCAGGGTGAACACCTCCCTTATAAACCCCCGATGATCTGCTCGACCAAAGATCACATTCACTCCCCCAAAATCTACCACTCACGGGTTATTCATGCCCGTGCCACCTCTTGGGTGGCTTAATCTTCATCAATCAGTCAATCATTACTTGTTGCTTGAGGTCATTCATTTATGTTCTGGCAACTAGTGATGCTTTCTACATGTCATTCCGACAGTTTTGACTCTTCGCGGTCCAGTTTATTTGCTCGTAATACAAATCTCCAAGTGTTAAAAACAAAATTTCTTCTCATTCCTCTTGTCGATGTTGCTAACCTCACCGTGACGACTGTGATGACTCCACTGCTCTCATCGTACTGTTTCCTCATCATGCTACTGTTTATTAGTCGGTTGTAAGTCACCACATTCACTCTTTTTTTAATCCTAGGACTTTACTGTGTGATGTAGTCCCGTGGGTTGGTTACTTTTACAATAGGTATTTATATATAAGTACAAGCAGCCATGAACGCAGTAAACACAGCAGCCATAAACGCAGTAAACACAGCAGCCATGAACGCAGTAAACACAGCAGCCATGAACGCAGTAAACACAGCAGCCATGAACGCAGTAAACACAGCAGCCATGAACGCAGTAAACGCAGCAGCCATGAACGCAGTAAACGCAGCAGCCATGAACGCAGTAAACGCAGCAGCCATGAACGCAGTAAACACAGCAGCCATGAACGCAGTAAACGCAGCAGCCATGAACGCAGTAAACGCAGCAGCCATGAACGCAGTAAACACAGCAGCCATGAACGCAGTAAACGCAGCAGCCATGAACGCAGTAAACACAGCAGCCATGAACGCAGTAAACACAGCAGCCATGAACGCAGTAAACGCAGCAGCCATGAACGCAGTAAACGCAGCAGCCATGAACGCAGTAAACGCAGCAGCCATGAACGCAGTAAACACAGCAGCCATGAACGCAGTAAACACAGCAGCCATGAACGCAGAAACACAGCAGCCATGAACGCAGAAACACAGCAGCCATGAACGTAGTAAACACAGCAGCCATAAACGCAGTAAACACAGCAGCCATAAGCGCAGAAACACAGCAGCCATGAACGCAGAAACACAGCAGCCATGAACGCAGTAAACACAGCAGCCATAAACGCAGTAAACACAGCAGCCATGAACGCAGAAACACAGCAGCCATGAACGCAGAAACACAGCAGCCATGAACGCAGTAAACACAGCAGCCATGAACGCAGTAAACACAGCAGCCATGAACGCAGAAACACAGCAGCCATGAACGTAGTAAACACAGCAGCCATGAACGTAGTAAACACAGCAGCCATAAACGCAGTAAACACAGCAGCCATAAACGCAGTAAACACAGCAGCCATGAACGTAGTAAACACAGCAGCCATAAACGCAGTAAACACAGCAGCCATAAACGCAGTAAACACAGCAGCCATAAACGCAGTAAACACAGCAGCCATGAACGCAGTAAACACAGCAGCCATGAACGCAGAAACACAGCAGCCATGAACGCAGAAACACAGCAGCCATGAACGCAGAAACACAGCAGCCATGAACGCAGAAACACAGCATCCATGAACGCAGTAAACACAGCAGCCATAAACGCAGTAAACACAGCAGCCATAAACGCAGTAAACACAGCAGCCATAAACGCAGTAAACACAGCAGCCATAAACGCAGTAAACACAGCAGTCATGAACGCAGTAAACACAGCAGCCATAAACGCAGTAAACACAGCAGCCATAAACGCAGTAAACACAGTAGCCATAAACGCAGTAAACACAGCAGCCATGAACGCAGTAAACACAGCAGCCATAAACGCAGTAAACACAGCAGCCATAAACGCAGTAAACACAGCAGCCATAAACGCAGTAAACACAGCAGCCATGAACGCAGTAAACACAGCAGCCATAAACGCAGTAAACACAGCAGCCATAAACGCAGTAAACACAGCAGCCATGAACGCAGTAAACACAGCAGCCATGAACGCAGTAAACACAGCAGCCATGAACGCAGTAAACACAGCAGCCATGAACGCAGTAAACACAGCAGCCATGAACGCAGTAAACACAGCAGCCATGAACGCAGTAAACACAGCAGCCATGGTCCAACACACACAGCCCAAGAAGCAGTGGGCGCCTCACACCTCCACAGCCAGCCAGCCAATGACAGCTAGAGCTGGCAAGCTGCCCAAATAAAATTCACAACACTTTAAAAACTGCAGCACGCGCCCTCTCAGACCCCTTAAGTAAACCCTTCACGGGCCCAGAGTGTAAGTTGTGAGGGGGAAGGGGGCCCTGTCGCTCCCCCTCCCCTGCGTTGCTCCCCATCCCTGTCCCTTCCCCTGCCATGCTGCCCATCCCTGCCCCTTCCCCGTGCCACACACCATACCCCTGTACAGCTTCGTCCCGGCCGCCCCAGCACGACACATGCGGCACTGATACACAGCACAGCGGCGACACAATATAAACTGCACACAACACTTCACCTGCAAGCAACACAGATCTATCCAAAATAGAAAACACATATATATATAGACGACTAAAATCTATCTTCCTTGTGAAGGTTTGACTGAGACCAGGGAAGAGGCACGGGGGAGCGCCACGACAAACACGGGATCGGCTCCCGAACCAATCACAGGAAATATGAAAAATACATCCCCGCAGGAGGTGGAAAAAGCGGGCGGGCGGGCGGCGAGAGTGGAGGAAAGTAAACATTACCGTGTAGTCAGATCTGAGAAAGTTACCACTGAGTATGAATGCCAAACACCGTCCCTCCGTCCCTCCCCGGCCCGCCGCCCCCGTCAAGCCCGGCGCAACGAAACCCGATTTGTAAGTCCTCTTTCTTGCCTGGGTACACCCGCGCCAGCCCTCACACACTCCCCAGAAGCCAATTTCCTCACATCGTGGGGAATAAGAACCGTTTTATTGGGCAAAAGGCTTCTAAGTAGGCCTACATCTCTCTACTAACAAGGATTTCACATTGCATTCAAGATCTTAACTGATGCTAGTGTGTCTGGGGTGCGTGTCTGTGGATGGTTGGCCATGAGGAGCGTGGCCAGGTGTGTGAGACAGGCTGGCGAGCCAGGTGTGTGAGACAGGCTGGCGAGCCAGGTGTGTGAGACAGGCTGGCGAGCCAGGTGTGTGAGACAGGCTGGCGAGCCAGGTGTGTGAGACAGGCAGGCGAGCCAGGTGTGTGAGACAGGCAGGCGAGCCAGGTGTGTGAGACAGGCAGGCGAGCCAGGTGTGTGAGACAGGCAGTCGAGCCAGATGTGTGAGACAGGCAGGCGAGCCAGGTGTATGAGACAGGCAGGCGAGCCAGGTGTGTGAGACAGGCAGGCGAGCTAGGTGTGTGAGACAGGCTGGCGAGCCAGGTGTGTGAGACAGGCTGGCGAGCCAGGTGTGTGAGACAGGCTGGCGAGCCAGGTGTGTGAGACAAGCAGGCGAGCCAGGTGTGTGAGACAAGCAGGCGAGCCAGGTGTGTGAGACAGGCAGGCGAGCCAGGTGTGTGAGACAGGCAGGCGAGCCAGGTGTATGAGACAGGCAGGCGAGCCAGGTGTGTGAGACAGGCAGGCGAGCCAGGTGTGTGAGACAGGCAGGCGAGCCAGGTGTGTGAGACAGGCAGGCGAGCCAGGTGTATAAGACAGGCAGGCGAGCTAGGTGTGTGAGACAGGCAGGCGAGCTAGGTGTGTGAGACAGGCAGGCGAGCCAGGTGTGTGAGACAGGCTGGCGAGCCAGGTTTGTGAGACAGGCTGGCGAGCCAGGTGTGTGAGGCAGGCAGGCGAGCCAGGTGTGTGAGACAGGCTGGCGAGCCAGGTGTGTGAGACAGGCAGGCGAGCCAGGTGTGTGAGACAGGCAGGCGAGCCAGGTGTGTGAGACAGGCAGGCGAGCCAGGTGTGTGAGACAGGCAGGCGAGCCAGGTGTGTGAGACAGGCAGGCGAGCCAGGTGTGTGAGACAGGCAGGCGAGCCAGGTGTATAAGACAGGCAGGCGAGCTAGGTGTGTGAGACAGGCAGGCGAGCTAGGTGTGTGAGACTGGCAGGCGAGCCAGGTGTGTGAGACAGGCTGGCGAGCCAGGTTTGTGAGACAGGCTGGCGAGCCAGGTGTGTGAGACAGGCAGGCGAGCCAGGTGTGTGAGACAGGCTGGCGAGCCAGGTGTGTGAGACAGGCTGGCGAGCCAGGTTTGTGAGACAGGCAGGCGAGCCAGGTGTGTGAGACAGGCTGGCGAGCCAGGTGTGTGAGACAGGCTGGCGAGCCAGGTGTGTGAGACAGGCAGGCGAGCCAGGTTTGTGAGACAGGCAGGGGGCACATACGGGCCAGAGGAAAGTCGCCCTTCAGGCATAGTGTCGGAAGTTTGGGAACTGGGGAACGTTGCCTTCAGGGTAATTTCCTATTTTATTTCATAGGGAGGAGAAGCAAATTGTCAAATTGTGTTTCCTTCTTGCGATTGGTTGTGACTACTTGACGGAGGACCACCTGGCGGAGGACCACCCGGCGGAGGACCACCTGGCGGAGGACCACCTGGCGGAGGACCACCCGGCGGAGGACCACCTGGCGGAGGACCACCTGGCGGAGGACCACCTGGCGGAGGACCACCTGGCGGAGGACCACCTGCCGGAGGACCACCTGGCGGAGGACCACCTGGCGGAGGACCACCTGGCGGAGGACCACCTGGCGGAGGACCACCTGCCGGAGGACCACCTGGCGGAGGACCACCTGGCGGAGGACCACCTGGCGGAGGACCACCTGGCGGAGGACCACCTGGCGGAGGACCACCTGGCGGAGGACCACCTGGCGGAGGACCACCTGGCGGAGGACCACCTGCCGGAGGACCACCTGCCGGAGGACCACCTGGCGGAGGACCACCTGGCGGAGGACCACCTGCCGGAGGACCACCTGGCGGAGGACCACCTGGCGGAGGACCACCTGGCGGAGGACCACCTGGCGGAGGACCACCTGCCGGAGGACCACCTGCCGGAGGACCACCTGGCGGAGGACCACCTGGCGGAGGACCACCTGCCGGAGGACCACCTGCCGGAGGACCACCTGCCGGAGGACCACCTGGCGGAGGACCACCTGGCGGAGGACCACCTGTGTGGGAGCTGGTACTCGCCACCTGAGGGCAATGTACAGGAAGACTTAGGTGTTGCATCACGTGACCAGTGTGTTGAGTTCAAGGGCCTCAAGTACTTCTCAATAATACATTAAAGTGATCGGGGAGGAAGGAAAGAAATGAAGGCAAGAAGGAAGCAAAGGGCCTGACACGAGCACTAATTCTGTTCTTAACATGTGTAAAGCGACTGGTAAACCGAAAGGCTCGTTCATGTCAATCTTTGGTAATACTGAACAACAATAGGGATAATTAGAACAGGAGCTGCCTCGTATGGGCCAATAGGCCTTCTGCAGTTACCTTTGTTCTTTTGTTCTTATGTAGGAGTCTGTCATGTATTACAAAGCGAAGTAGAAACACTTCGCCTTGTGTGTTTCTTCATGTATATTCATCACTGTAGCCGTCTGCAACACTCACTATCTTCATAGCTGTAATAATCTTCATAATCTTCACTATGCACTGTCTTTAGCAGAATAGATATTTTTTTCACTATCCAGGCACCGCTACATCTTCAAACAGTCATTACTACCTACGCTATTCTTCACCACCTTCCCTACCCTTCACCACCTTCCCTACCCTTCACCACCTTCCCTACCCTTCACCACCTTCCCTACCCTTCACCACCTTCCCTACCCTTCACCACCTTCCCTACCCTTCACCACCTTCCCTACCTTCACCACCTTCCCTACCCTTCACCACCTTCCCTACCCTTCACCACCTTCCTTACTCTTCACCACCTTCCCTACCCTTCACCACCTTCCCTACCCTTCACCACCTTCCCTACCCTTCACCACCTTCCCTACCCTTCACCACCTTCCCTACCCTGTAGTACCCTGCATACTCATCACTACTTGCCTTCGCTTTACTAACCATCACTTCCCTACCCTTCATCACCTTTCCTACCCTTCACCTACTTTCTTACCCTTCACTATCTTGCCTGCCCTTCACTACATTCCTTATCATTCACCAGCTGCCCTACCCATCACCACCTACTTGACTCTTCACCATTTTCCTTTCTTATCACTATTTTCATTAAACACCATCTTCATCAACAAACTACATATGTAAAACTAACATTTATTCATGTTGAAAAAATATATACCGGATGAATCTTAGTGACGATAAATTCTAGTGTTTAGCGAGATTGGAAATTGGAATAATTGGATCCTTTCATGCAAACGGGACGAGCGGTTGTGGAGGGGATTGGGCTCGACTCCGACCTGCCTATGACCATCCCCGGACAAAGACCAATCACACTGCAAAGTTTGGAAACTGAATCATTGCATCAAAGAGGGCGAGGGCTGGAGCCGGGCTCGTCCGTGTAAGATGATCTAGGGCGAGTACATGTAGGGTTGTGGGGCCACGAACACAGCTACGCCACACACCACCAATTTACTGTCGTAACCCTCCTCTTGAAAACAGTGCACTCACTAAATCAATGTTTATTTCAGGTGTTGGGAGTGTTGCGTGTTTTGTGTGTGTGGTGTGTGTGTGTGTGTGTGTGTGTGTGTGTGTGTGTGTGTGTGTAGTCTGGCATGTGTGTGTGGAGTGTGTGAGGATTGTGGAGTGTGTGAGGATTGTAGTGTGTGAGGATTGTAGTGTGTGAGGATTGTGGAGTGTGTGAGGATTGTGGAGTGTGAGGAGTGTATGGTGTCTGGTGTGAGATGAGTCTGGCGCAGGGAGTGTGGTGTGATGAATGTGATGGTTCGATCGTGTTTCGTGTGTGCAGAGTGGTGCAAGGTAGCACCATGAACGCTCACCACAAGCATCATAACCCATCTCCACAACCACCTACAACACCCATCAACACATACAACAATAAACACCACCACCCAGCACTGGGACAGGTCTAAGAACAAGTCCGGCGGAGCAGGTCAGGTCCGGAGCAGCAGGTCAAGTCCGGAGGAGCAGGTCAAGTCCGGAGGAGCAGGTCAAGTCCGGAGGAGCAGGTCCAATATGCAAAATTTAACGAAATCATCCCGTCGACGATCACAATATTTAAGTTATTATAAACGATTTATCTTAAATGCCATACGCGGGAGAATGGGTCGGAGTGGACACACATGAG